TTTTATCCATGCAAAATATCAACTTTAAGGCTTTCAAAATATAAGCAAAAAGATACCAATGTTTTCTAGCTCAAGTCACAATATAAAAAAACCAAAGAATATAGAAGATATACAAGTAGTAAAAAAGTACCCAAAAGTTTTCTTAGATGATATGTCAAGTTTGCATCCAAGAAGAGAGATACATTTCACCATTGATTTGATACATGGTGCAGAACCAATAACAAAGGCACTCTATAGAATGACAATCCAGGATCAACAAAAACTAAAGGCTCGGATGCAAAACTTATTGGAAAAATAATTTATCAGACCAAATACTTCCCCTAGGAAAGACCCAATATTTTTTGTTAAGAAGAAAGATGGGAGCTCAAGGTCATATAATGACTATCGAGAATTAAACAAGCTCACGATATATTAAGTTATATGATAATTATAGTTATATGTTATATGTCAAGTTTTTAAAGTGTGGATTCTGGTTGAGAAGCATATCATTCTTGGGGCATGTGGTCAATAATGAGGGTATCTCAGTGAATCAGAACAATGTTAAAGCGATTATTGGTTAGCCCAAACCAACCACTATTATAGAAGTATTGAAGTTTTCTAGGTATGGCAGGCTATTACAGAAGATTTGTTGAGGGATTCTCTCAAATTACAATGCCTTTGTCTAGATTGATTTAGAAGCCATTGAAATTCGAATGGATTGATCTTCATGAGGAAGTTAGAAGTTGAAAACATGTTTGAAGAGAGCTTCAGATTTGACGATCCCCTCTGGAACAGAGCACTTATAGATTTATAGTGATCATCTTTAAGAGGACTTTGATGTGCTCTTATGCAAAAATGAATTACCCATGCCTCTAAATAATTGAATAATCATGAGCAAATTATCAAACACAAGATTTGGAGCTAGTAGCAGTCATATTTGCTTTGAATATATGGATGTCTTATTTATATGGAGTCAAATGTGAAGCATTCATTAATCACCAAAACTTGAAGTATATTTTAACATAAAAGAATCAAATTTAAGATCGAGATGATAGATGCACATCTGACTGCGAAAAAAAGTTCAAGAAGCTTTGGGTACAAAATTAATGTTTAGTAGTACATCATTCTCAAACAGATGATCACTCAGAAAGAACAATTCCAATACTATAATAACTGCTTAGACTTTATGTGTTTAATTTTGGTGGAAATTAGAAATCGCACATTCTTGATATAATTTGCCTACAAAAATAGTTTCCAAACCAATATTGACTCCAAATGAAGCCCGATATGAAAGAAAGTTGAACAACTCTTTATTGGGTTAGAAACTAGTGAAAGGAAGACAATTGGTTCTGAGTTAGTTGATGAATTTACTAAGAAGATCATGTTGATTTGTAATAGAATGCAAGCTGTTCAAGATAGACAGAAAAAGTATCATGATGTCAAGCACTAATCAATGAAATTTGAGGTTAGAGTTTATTTTTCTAAAGGTCAATCCTATGAAGGTGTCAAAAGTTTGAAAAGTTTTGAAAATCGAGCTCACGGTATATTGGCCCATATGAGATCGTGGAGGAAATTAAGGAAGTGACTCATAAACTTGTCTTACCAACACATGTGCACGGAGTACATTAATATATTTAATATCTCATTTCTTCAAAATTATATTACTGTAATAAGCTTGTCACAAACCTTATAGATATCCACCTTAATTTGATCTTAATAGAAAACTAGAAAGAATTATAAATTATGATGCGAAACAACGCAAAAATAAATATATTATTTTTGTTCGTGTACCATGAAAGCATGAGACATAAAGAGATGTTATTTGGGAAAATGAATCATAAATGAGAGAATTTTATCCACAACTTTAGTTGAGGTATGAATTATTCTATGTATAGTAAATTTTGAGGGCAATTTGGAGTGAAAACTATAATAATACTCTATTAAATTTTAAATAACTTAATTAAAAAAAAAGTAGTCACCTACTTAAGACATGCACATTAGGTGTCGATCAAAGAAGCTCCCGCCGCATCGCCAATCAGAGATCTAAGGCAAGGTTATTCCCTCATCTTCTCTGATTTGACCGCACTGGACTAGTGAGCAGGAGACACTGAGTGAGAGATAGTGGGAGAGAGGAAGAGAACATGAGAGAGGGAAAGGAAGAAGAAGCCAATGCCAGCGAAGACAAGGGTTCGAGCACCACACCTTCGTGGGTCGTCGACAAACCACGAGTAAGGAAGAAGAAAGACCTAGCAGCATTTCCCACAGACTCACTAGTGTCTGGGACTTTAAGTGCTCAAGAGGAGCTTGAGGGGCTCACAGGGGCCTTTCTGCATGTCTGTTGCACATAGTCGAGCGTGTGAGCCATCCAACAACAGAAAGGAAAAACCAAATGACTATCACTCGAGCGACTAAAGGAAGAATTTATTGCGTGCACAATGCACATGATTGCTCATTTCTATGCCATAGAAGGAAAAATGGCAAGGCTGAGAAATATTTGAGGAGGTTTGCTTCTTTACTCGTCGTGCAGTAATGATCACACCCAGGAGAAGCTCGCCCGAGTGCCTCTATGCTCCGAATGCATAAAACCAGGCAAGGCAACAAGGGAAAAAGGATTTTGTGGCTTTAGGTAATGATTTTGAAACCCTAATCTAATTTTTCTTTAATGTTTTATGAGGGTTCAAAAAGAGTTGAATACATTTCATAAACCTACATTAATTGATTTTTTAGAATTTGTTAGAAATTTGTCTAGGAAATTTGGTGACAAGGGTGAAATCAGACAATGAAGAAAGAGAAATTTCAGGTATAAAGTTAGAATTTTCATAATTATTTATTATTTTCTCCGTAAATTTGTGTTAAATTACAAAGTTTCAAAGTATAACTAACCTATTCCTAATTCAAAATACCAAAAGAAACTTTAAGAAAACCTTTCTAAAATGTATTTAATTGAATTATATTATTGTATAAATTAAAATAAGTTAATAAAATTATTTAATATTAAGTGAGTTGATAGGAAAGTAAGTAAAATGTCTTACTATAGCTGTAAGAACGAAATATACTGACCGAGGGAAGGATAACAGACTGCATTGATTATGTGTGTAAATAAAATTTTATTTTACAATAGTTTTTTTATTTATGAAATTAATTGCAACAGTTTTTATTATTTTGGGCGCTATCTTTTAAAGCTACAAGTTTCTTAGTTTTTTTTTTTTATAAACGTCAGATAAAGAACTAAATAAAATATAATATATGCATACATATATGGATTTACACACAAATGATATTGACAAGTGATGCGAAGTATCAGTGCATGTAAAATAAAAATGAAAAAAAAAATTCTATATTTTTTGTGGGTTTCAAAAAATGCAGAACTTATACTTTTAGTGTGCGTTTAGACGTTGACTTCTATTGACAGATATTATAATTAAAATACATAAAAATAACCAAAAAATAAATTTCTTACTTATTTCTTTTTTTACTACTTAAGATCTTTTAATTGTTTATTGTGTTTTTACAAAATATTTTTAGAATGAGAATTTTTGTTAAAAATATTTTGTCCGCTTAATAGTTTAAATCATATTTCAGTTACCATCATTTTCCAGGAAAACATGCTATACAATAGATTGATCATAAGAAGTATGAGTACAGATGCTGAAGAACTCAGAGAAAGGTAATATAGCAAGAAAATATACTAAAAGATTGATTATAAGAAGTATGTGTATAGACGCCGAGGAACTCAGGGAGAAAGGTATTATAGTTCAGCTTTTAGTTTTCTTTCAGTCGTAAAAGTTTTAAATTTGAACAAATATTTGTAGCGTAAAGTTGGGTAATAGAATAACTCTTTTTTATGTTGGACTATTTTATTTAATAAATGAAAATATTTAAATAATTAGTTTCCTCCATCCAACCATCCATTTTCGTCTTAATATTCCAAGCTCCTAGGCTGAGTTATGACAAGTGACCACAATCAGTGAAAAAAGTACAAATCCTCATCTCTAAAGGGATAGTAATGTCCAATTCAATTGGGGCCCTAGCCACTAACAATCTAGATCCCTTAGCTAAAGCAACATCTACTTGAAGTAGTGTACCGAATATTGACCCAGGAAAAAATAGAGTAAATTGGTTGAAATAGTAAATCAAGTGTTATGAAAGGCAGTTAAAATTGGAGTAACTAGACATTCATTGGAACAATCAAAGTGAGGTGATCCACATTAAAAACTAAAGCAATGGAAGATCCACTTGAGCTTCCACATCGAATACTCATCCACGTAATATAATCCCTTGAAATTAGTATTGAATAATCACTTTTTAAAATTAATTTGTTAGAACATGACAGTAGTAAATAAACCCAAGAGAAAATGCTTGGACATATCTTAAATTGGCCATGAATCTACGATCACGAAATTGTGTGGCCCCTAAGAACATTTGTTAATAAGGGTGAAAAAGGAATAAAATGCAAACTCAGAGATCTCACCAACGGAAAATAATGTGAAGGTCAAAGGAATCAAGAGGATAAATTAAGCTGAATTCCTGAGTGTTAAGCGGTAACTCATTAATGTCTGCATGAGGTGGAAGAAATGAAAATTTTAAGCAAGATGTATGAAAAAAACTCTAAAGGATAAATTAAGAACTTAAGATGGAGAATTTTTGGAACGATATCTACTAAAGATAAGGAAATTGAAAATAAGCTTTAGATGATATGGTCATGTACAACAAAGGGTAAACAAATGCACCTATCAGACAAGCAGACAGAAGTATAAGCTTATGCTGGTCAATCAACTCGTTAAATTTAAAATAAGAAAGTCCAGACTTAAGAAAATATGAATAAAAGCCATAAAAAATTCTTTATGAAGAACAAACTCGACATTTCTAAACAAAACGCAGCAAGAACAAGAACAAAAAAAAAAAAAGATTCATAAAGGTACTTTTGATAAGGCAAAAGATGAAGATGATAATGTTGATGATGATGTAAAAAATAATAAAGGAAGTTATTCTTCATATGCCATAACAAGAAGAATCTTTACCTGTCAGATTTCAATAAAGGCATCTTGACAAGAGCACCGAATCTTTCAATCAATTCACTTTCGAATTCTTTTCGGTTCTAGAACAGTAGCACGGAGCATAAAATGAGAGAAATAAACACTTGCAAGTGCAAAAATAAGTACATGAAAATAAGAACAACATACCTTGCCATCATAAAGGTGGTAAAACATCAACAGGACATAGCCAGCATTTGGAGATGACTTGTCCAGATTTCCCTTTGAAAAAGCCCAAGTTGTGTATGAATGCAAAAGAAACAAAATTGAAGCAAGGTTTTAATGTGACAGACAACAGGTTAAAAGAATAGAAAGTACCGGATGATTGACTCGCTGGAGTACTCGAAATATGAAAACAGCAGGAGCGTCGAGAGAAAATGGATTTGAATCGGTTCCTGCATGAATCAATGTAACTGCAAGGTAAAGCAACCAAGCTGAAAACCAACAAATATAATACCAGCGTGAATAGGATAAAACTTAAATAGCAGAATCAATTTTCAAAAGCAAATATGAAGGAGGATGCAGTTCATAACCCCAAAAGAAATTTATGGATGATGAAGGTTATCAGTTAAGAATACAATCAAGAAATGGAGAAACAAACAAAATATCAGCATAAGATGTCAACTAACAAGATTAGAATAAAAAAGAATAAAAATAGCCAAGTAATTTTAAAAAAATGAAAACGCTATGATGAGGTAAGGCAAATGTTTTGACTAGGAAATTTTATTCAGTCACTGTTCTGGTTAAAAATTGAAATCTATAAATCTATCAGCTTATTATCTATCATTTATATAAATTTTTGTTAATTTCTTGTATAAAAATTATTTTGACTCTATATACATTATGATGTCTAAAATTGGAAAAATATTTTTGCTATTTCATAACTTCGAGAAATATTCTTATGAGTTTCCTCAGGCCAAAATATCACAACATTTGACCGTGAAGTATTTATTTCAAGTACGCCAGACCAAGATTGATTTAAAAAGGAGTTGAATAAAGAGTCGAACAAAGTTTGACAATAATATCGATGATGTAAAATCAATAAGGTCATCCCTACAGCCAGTTAAATAAAACATGGGATTACAAACAAGGCATCAATACATAGATATAAAAAGTAATAAAGTTCATTGGATTATTAGCAATATCATGATGGTGAATATCATAATATTTCCTAAGAATAAGAAAGTTATTTTCAACATTTGATAGAACTTAAAACTATAATATTTTTTTAAAAATTGGTTAGATGGCTTAAAACAGTTGTTAGAACTGCTAAAAGAAAAATTAGACCATTTTAGAAGATTGTTAAAAATGATATTGAATACTCAAATAGACAGTCCATTATTACTTTAATTGATATGAAATATAAGTACAACCAATTATATCTACAAGCACAAAGTCGTAGATAGGATTGACCTTATCATTTCGACAGGTTCCAAAGTGTTGGTTTGTAAGTGTTCTTTATTACAACTACATTGATTACCATATCTAGATTTATTAGTGAACATATACACGACAAGTTCAAAATTATTCTCCTATAACTCTAGATGAGTCGACAAAAGTTCTATAAAGATTGAAAGGTAATGAAGAACCCTCCAAAAAGGAATATTAAATCTTCATTATATATTTCAAAGACAACACTTACATAGAGTTCAATGCAGCTGAGTGAATTTCCTGCTAAATAGAACCATTTGTCCGATCTAAAATCCTTCCTTTGATCATAACTAATTTGCAATCCAAGTCACCAATGCATAACAAGGTTATCAATGCAAAAAATGCACCGTAATATGCAAAAGATTTTTTTTTTTCCTTTTGCGGTGCAACTCCTATGCTTCAAAATTACTCGAAATGCACATAACAAGAGGAACATTACATAGTTATACTATTCCGAAACCCTAATCAAAATCGTAATTATGAATGATCTATAAATTTTAAGTCAAATATTAAAAACTAATACCAACTAGAAATAAATTTTAAAAATTATACTCAAGAGATGTTGTAGCATTCCTATATGATGAGCACATGATTGAGTCAATAAAAGAGCAGAAATCAAAGAAACCAATGATTCAAAAGTAAGAAAAGGAACAATTCAATATATAAATTCAGCTGATGAAATAATACCATGGCTTAAAATCCAGAATTTTATCTCCATTGGTCATTTGCATCTCCTACTATCCTACAACTATAGTCTGCATTTCGCATTTGCATTTCAAACGATGAGGTGAAGAGCCGAGAGTACCATGAAATGTAAGAAAATGTATGAAAACACCATCTAATTACAATGAATTAGGACAATAAAATCTAAACCCACGTAATACGAATACTAAAAACCCTTGAACCAATACTAAAATGAATTGCTTGTGATCCATGATTAATACTTACGAGTTACGAGCACCAAACATGCTCCATGGGTTGAGCATATGCACACACATAACTTTGCTTTGCAACAAAGCCAAGCTCGAAGGTCACACAACGAATCACTTCACATCACAAAAGGTCTTCAAAGCACGATTTTAAGAACGCTAATTTAATTAATTAAATACCTTTGTTACAAAACATTGATCAAATTGAACATCTAGCAGACAAATTACACGTGATGAAAACAACAATTTTGAAAAAAAACTCATTTAACTAACTTTACCCACGAAGTAACACTTGAATCCCTTACCAACACGTGAAATAAATGCTGTACGTGATTGAAATCCTTTCAATTTTAAACATAATTGAAAAGACCATATTGCCACGGAATGCCAACAAATAGAACTTGTAAAGAAATCAATTGGTGCTAAAGGAGCAGTAGTTTATAGACGAGTAAATTTCAAGGGAAGAAAGTTAACAACATATGCATCACATAACACTAGTTCAAACTAAATTGCTATTATTTTGCAATGATAAATTGAATTTTTTTTTCTTTATGATTAATTAGATATTATCTGCTGAGCTGCAATAACACCGAAATTAATTCAGAAATCAGCAGAAACGGAAGCAAACTTCATTAATCAACTGGTTAGGTTTACAAACAAGACTCAACTGAAAGGAAGTTGCAACAAACGCTAATCTCTGGCTAGAGCCAGATAACAAGATCTGAGGCGACGATGGTGCCTACGAAGGGTTTGTAGTAGTGGAGGGAGGGAAGTATGAGAGGAAGAAGAGGTTGCAGTAGAGGTTAAGGAATGTGGGGGAGTTGCAAGCTATTGGCTGGAGGGCTGGACAGCAGGGGAGGAGCAAGAAAACAGAAGGTGCAGCTAGGGCAAGGCACAGGTTGGCTGGCCACAGGGTCCAGAAGGCTGGGGAATGCAGATGGGCGGTTGGAAGGCTGGGCAACAGATTTGTAGTAGAAGTGGGCGACAAGGCAACTGGAAGAGTAGGAAATGGGGGGCAGCCAAGGAAGACATAGAAGAAGGGTTAGGGATAATAATAGGGGAGAATACAATACCACCTTGGAGCAAGATACAACCGAAGCACCACCCGTCGTCGGATACAGCCCTAGCAAGGAGAGAAGACTTCAAGAGAAACTCTGAAACAACAAGAAGCAAAAAACTAACCCCAGTTCCAACAATCATAAATATAAATAGATATGAATAGGGGGGAAACTAAAAAAGGAAAAACGGGGAGGCAGTGGGCAGCAATTTCTGGCTCCAAGAAAGGCAAGGGAGGTGGGAATCGGGAAGGTAGAGGAAGGTGGGGCAAAAGGTGGCACATCCGTCCCTAACAATGTAGACCGGTCCAGCGGGAGGGTTGGATCGGACCCACCCTAGGTCGGTTCAGCCGGCCTCTCCTCGCCCATTTTCCGCACTTGCGACCCAGCCTCACATCTCCCTCCCAACCTTAGCATCAGTCTAGGGGTTGGGGGAGCTTCAAATTCATTTGTTGAAGCTTCCGGTTCTTTATCCATACCCCTAGGAGCACTTGAATTTCACTGGCGACTGTACCGTCCTCCAAGATACCTGAGGTTCTTTCCCAAATTTACGAGCAAACATCTACACCGGTCCAATGTTTTGGAAGTTTACTACTGAAGTGAACTGTGTATCCCGTCTTTGTTGTTGAATACTCGCAAGGTCATTCACGGTTGGCTTAACCAGATCTGAAATGGGGGTAACCTGAACCTTCCCCCATGATGGTGGCGCTGGTGGTAAAGTATAAACCCTGATATCCTGAAACGCCCTCTGTCGTGTTTGTCCTGTGTCTATAGCTGTTGTCACAATTACATCATCTTCTGCCGTCGCCAAAATTGGTCCCACCAAGGCTGCTCTGCTTGTGAAGGCTCTTGTGATCTAGAGCTTTGCGGAAGAAAGTAGGATGATGTGCTTCCTATCGTTGGTGAATGAATACATGTTTCCGAATCCATCGTGTTGAAACTTCCGATCAAACTACCATTGTCTCCTCAATGAAAGGTGGCAAACATCCATAAGCCACGTCGCACCACTCTCGATCCTGCAATTGGCCCCCAATCAAAAACTCTACTAAGCATCTCCAGTCGATTCTGACCAAATTCTTCTTCTTCAGTCATGACAGAGAATATGACTAAGAATGCCTTTGAGTCAGACGAGTCAATTTATTTATCAACTATTTGTGTAGACACCACGCTCTTACAGCTCCCTCCATCGATGATGAGACATGATGCCTTGTCGTTCACAGTGCACCAAATATTGAATATATTGTGACGAAGTCACTGCAAATCCCTTGTATCAATATCGGTTTGTAAGACCAATCAAACAAGAAATGCTTCTCCATCATCTGGTGGAAGATGATACAGCTCACCCTGATCCTCAGCCGTCTCTTCATTGCTAAATTTTTCCATATCGCCCTGTTTTGTGAGGGTGAGTGCTCGGCTCGCGAGACAGCTTTAGGCTATATGGTCGTAGCTGTCGCACTTTAAACACTTCCTGATTGGTCCTGCGTTGGAGGAGCTACCTATTAAATATATGGGCCTGTGACTTACCCACCTCACCCGCATCTCACCTACCTCTCTCATGTTTTCTTTAAATAGCCTCTTTTGGCCTGTCATAAGAGCTAAGTCAAGTCCTCTTGAGAGCTAAGAGAGAGAAATGAAGTTTTCTTTTAAACGTCGAGGCGCTCGACAGTGAAATTTCTCGAAGTAATAAAATTCTCTGTAGCTCTGTGGACGTAAGTAAATTAGCCGAACCACGTAAATCTATATTATTTTCTGGTTTGCAATTTTTTTATCGGGTTTTTTCACTTTATTGTCGTCGTTTTTTCATAACACTATCTCCTGTTTCTTCTCACTCTGATATGGCCTGTCCCTTCCTTATCTGGGTATGCTAGTTCCTCCCGAGATACCCTTGTCAGTCGTGGTAGTTGTAGGTGACTGCCTGACTGACAACTATTGCCTGAAGAACTGCTATCTGCTTTGTTCTTGTTATCTTTCTACCTTTAAGGTTAGAGTCTAAACATCTCCAAGTGACAAATAAAGATGCAACTCCACCACGTAGCTAATTCCTGACATCAACCCTTCAGATAATGGGCTATGGTATGCTCCTCTGACTTAACGAAATCACTTCATCTGCAACTGATCATACTGCGCTGTGAATACCTCCACCGACAGATCCCTCTGCTGCACGTGGTGGTGCCTCATAAACATATTCTGGCGGTAATAGGTGGGAGGTATTTCCTTTGCATAGCCTTATTTATTTTCTCCCACCCGATAATCTTCTTGAAGTCTTTCTTGTTCCTGTGTCTGTAAGTTCTTCCACTACAACGAGACACTTTTCTTCAACTTGATAGCAACTAATTTAACCCTCTTATCCTTTGGCACATCCTTATATTCAAAGATCCATTTAACAAATTGCAGTCAATCAATAAAAGACTTCTAGATCCATGCCTCCCTCAAGCTAACAGATCACTTTGATGTCAAAGTATCTGTGCCCTCCCGAAGATATCTCCTCTCTGAAATTTTGCATATGGGAGCGATTCAGATACCCTTATCTAGGCCTCCTTGAATACTGGATTCTGAAACATCGTGGCCAGTCTTCCTGATCACTAAAATTCTCCCTATGGAAGATATTCAGATCCTCCTCTCTTTCTCCCCTTTGACTATCCAGATCTCTGTTGAGGGTAACCTCCCTTGGGTCACCTCATCAATTTCCGCAAACCTCTGTTGAAAGCGAAGGAGCTCTCGCAGCACTTCTTCCCGGTGGGCTCAGGTATATATCTTCTTGGTGGCATAGGAAGAGTTTGGGATTTGTGGAAGTGGAAACGGTATTTAGAATGACAGATGCTAGGAAATCCTAGGATAAGACTAGGATTAGACTAGCTCTGATACCAAACGATACAGAAAATAGTTCAAAAATCAGCAGAAAGGGAATCAAACTTCATTAATCAACTGGTTAGGGTTACAAAAAAAGACTTCTAGTAAAGGAAATTGCAACAGACACTAATCTACAACTAGAACCGGATAAGAAGATCCGAGACAACAATGCTGCCTGCAAGGGGGTTGTAGTAGTGGAGGGGGAGAGCTATGAGAGAGAAGAGGTTGCGGTAGTGGTTGGGGAAGGTGAGGGAGGTGAAGGTTGTTGGCTGGAGGGCCGGACAGCATGGGGAGTGCAGGAAATTAGGTGGCACGGCAAGGGGAAGGCACAAGTTGATTGGCCGCAAGGTCCAAAAGGCTGGGGGAGTGCAGTTGGGCGGCTAGAAAGCTGCGTAGCAGGTTCTAGAAGGCTGAACAGCAGGTTTAGAAGACTGGACAGCAAATATACAGTAGTGGAGGTGGCGGCACGACAGCTAACAAGGAAGGGGATGGCTGACAGCTAGGGAAGGCGTAGGAGAAGCATTAGGGAAGATGATAAGGGAGGATACAACACCACCTAAGAGCGAGATACAACTAAAGTACCACCCGACGTCGGACATTGCCCTAGTGGGGAGAGGAGAAGACTCCAAACAACAAGAAGCAAACAAATAACCCTAATTCCAGCAAACATACATATAAATAGATAGGGATAGGGAGGAAACTAAAAAGGAAAGCGGGGAGGTTGTTGGCGGCAATTTTCGGCTACAAGAAAAGGCAAGGGAGGCAAGAATCGGGAAAGCAGAGGAAGCCAAGCAAGTGTGGCACATCCCACCCCTAAGAATGTCGACCGGTTCAACAGGAGGTTGGACCAGACCTGCCCAAGCAGGCTTTCCTTGCCTGCGTCCCTGCCTCGCGTCTCCCTCCCAGTCCCCGCGTCTTGCAAAGCACACAAAGTACTTCTAATTTACAAAAAAAAAAAAAGAACATTCATAACACATTCACATGCAAGCATACTATATGAGCGAGACAGGAGAGAGTGCAAAAACAAAATATAGTTTCAAGAAAATCATATGTCGACCGGTCCAACAGGAAGCTGGACTAGACCTGCCCAAGCAGGCTTTCCTTGCCTGCATTCCTGCCCCCGCTTTTTGCAAAGCACAAAAAGACCTTCTAATTTAAAAAAAAAAAAAAAAAAAAAACATTCACACCACATTCACATGCAAGCACACTATATGAGCGAGACAGAAGAGAGTGCAAAAACAAAATATAGTTTCAAGAAAATCATGCTAGGTAGGTAAAGCATTATTGTTCAAACTAATACTAGAGAACAGTACATTAATTTTTTAAAAAATAAACTTTCTTAAACTATATGCATAATACCTTCAGAGTCAGGAACAACAGGAATAGCAGAGGCTTTTGTACTCCGACACATGTCCTCAATCTAAAATGTAAAGGTTCAAGTTAGTAGCTGATTTAGAACAAAAAACAAAATGCACTTGATCATGTCAAAAAAAAAAAAACGATATTAAGGGTGTGTCATTTTACCTGTCTCCACACTTCTTCATTGGGTGCATTTTTGTCAGCAAGGGTTATAGTATAAGGTTTCTTCTTGCGCTCTTCAGCTACCTTGGGCCAATATCGTCCTGAAATGTTTTCACAAACTCAGTAAATTTAGCAGAGATAATGAGTTAATCAGCAGTCACTATCAATCAAATAATGGTACTCGAACGGATAGCCTAACACAACATTTTTACTCAATTAATAGATATCATCTCTAACTACGGTAAATATAAATATTGTTTGTTCTCATAATAGAATCCAAAGTCAAGCGATGCTGGTCTATTCTCAATAAAAGAAGACTCAAAATGGCACATGTTTGCTCGATAATTTAGCATGAACTTCACTCATAATTAAATTTTATTATGAGGATCAATTTTTCTTTTCTTTCTCTGGTGGAACTTTTGTAATTAGAAAAGTAAAAGGCTTAAAGCTATCAAAATGGCTCGGTCTCATGAAAAATTCATACTCGGCTTGATAAGCAGCTCGTGTTAGATTCGTTCGTGTTCAGCTTGTTTTGACTAGAAATAAATTAATTCACTACAATGCTACAATACAAATATTTATAATCAATTAAAATTAAAAAATAAAATAAAAATATATTAAATTTTATTTAAATGAATATTTTAATATTAATAATAAGATTTAAATCTCGTCCCTACCCTTAACATCCTACGGCTGCGTGACTAGGATTGTCAAAAAAAACTTGTTCGTGAACAACACATGTTCATCTTGCTAAGCAAATGAGTTGAACACAAATAAATTTTTGGACTCAACATACAAACGGGCCAAACAAGGACGGTGCTATTTTTCAAGGAGTCAAACACAAGCAAAGCCTAAGCTCGCTCAAGCTCGACTCTTTTACACCCCTAATAAGACTCATTAAGGTTGCTAGCCTTCTTATACCCACTTTTCCTAAGAAAGAAACTAGTTCTTCTCAGGATACTTCAAAGTTTCCTGAGATGAGAAAAAAGGAGGTTCCCCAGTGAAGAGGTTTAGAGAGAAGCTGTTAAGGTGTTATAAGGAGAGCAAGAAACTCCGCCACAATAGACATCAGAACTTTGGAAGGCCATCTATGGTTGTGGGATCCAAAGATTCGACGCCCCAAACTCTCATTGTTGTTATAGAGCTTTGTATTTTGAAAATTCTGGGACAAAATATTTAGAAGGCGTATTGGATTGTAGATAAGACACTGCCCAAAGATTTCACTCTTAATTTGTGAGGACTTTTAATCGAAGTTTAAGGTTTCCCATATGCACAAACCCAATTGGTTAATTACACCTCCCGATAACGGGAAAGCACTTTTGATAAAGGCTAATCATTTGACATTGAATATTCAACATATATTAGCTGCAGGTTTAAGATTTTAGATTGATCAATTTATCACTTTAAATTTAAAGTCGATGGTGGGAGAAATGATGACGAACCCAATTAAGATCACATGGTTATATCATCATGGGTCGTTGTGGTCCCTGATGTAGTTAGTCAGAGGAGGAAGTCAACCCAACCTAATTGAATTATCTTTTTCAGTATGGTTGCATCACATCACACAAATGAATCTTATAGATCTCGGATAGATGTTTGACTAAAGAGACAAATTTAACTCCACCTTAGCTAACAAAATGTTTTATGTCAATCAAATGTACACAAATAATCACAACTCAAAGGATAGAAACGAGTTGGACAACATATGGGCAGTCACCGTGAATGTAATAAAATGATATCATTTGGCAACAACTACTCGGTCAGAGGACTATTATAGTAACCATTAACTTTTTTTTGGCTTTTAAACCAAACCAAAAGGACAAGGGACCTTGATGATGTCCTTATTGATGTCATTATTTTAAGTGTGAATAAAATGATCCAAATGATGTGATATTCACTCTTTGTAAGCTGAAGTCAATCAAAGGTTTGTGACCCCCGAAAAACTGTTGTGAATGGTGGATGCCCATTTACACGCAAGATGTAAAGTCGACATAACAACTGGCTCCAAACCAACAGCTGGAATAGAGTGTGTCGGACATGTGTAGGTTGTTGAACATTAGAAGCGACTACTTGTTGTACCAGCTGATCTTTTATTAGATCAAAGGAGCATTTTCGTGTGTCTTGACATGCGAGTAAGTCTTCTTCAAAAACAATGAGTGGTATAGACACGTTTGGATTTGTACTTGTAGTATGGGGGGATGCTTCATGGGACTCCAAAGTACCATGCTCCAAACTAGCGGCTGGAATAAAGTGTTCGAAAGCAAGAGCATCCAAGGATAGAACGACTTGGGTATGGTGTTCTTTATGAGGAACTGCGGTGTTGGAAAGAGGGTTGGGTTGCACCTTCTCAGTGGGATGGTAGGTGGCAAGTCGTCTGTGGCTGATCTTTAGCAAAATTCGGTCTTAGATGAGGATGCAAGCGATAGCAAATAGTACAACTGTGGCCAAACAAACTCCAATGAGAGCAAAAAGGAGAGTGATTCTATTTTTACATTTTGTCAATACTCGTTGTGAGTGGTTTCAATCCATACCTCATCCGGAGCTGGTTGAGTGATATCTCTCTCAACTAACACACAAACCACAGAGGGTCTAGTGACAGCAAGCGTAGGACTATCAACCTTGAGAGACTTACCGTGAGCAGTTGCTAAAGAGTAAAGAATATTCAAGTTGAACGGATGTTAACACAGAGTGCTCGTGCACATATAAAATGATACTAGTGAGAAACACTAAAATGCCCGTGCACATATATGAAAAAGGATATTGATATTGATGTGACTTAATTGACATAATTTTTCTACGGTGCTCCTGTGATAGTTGCATATTTTTTTAGAAAGCCCTAAAGTTAATATATTAATTAGAAAGAATGATACAGATAGATTGTAAGAGAAGACCCAAGAATGACACCTTGCCCACACGATAACCACAAAGGGTTCGAAAACGAGAAAATACAGAAAAATATATGAGAGACCTTAAGAAAAAACCAAAAAGTGAAAAAACCAAAAGGTGTCAAAACACGTAGTATTAGGTAGCTAGAGAGCGACCCAATTTTCTCTTGCCTCTGTCTCTAGTTCTAGGAAACGAGCTATCTAATAAATTGGTAAAATGAGTGACATTGCCAGTAGTAACCAATGTAACATCCAATAGGTTCCCGAGCTCGAGTCGACCTCCATTCTTCTTCTTCCTCCTGGAATAGACCTGTCATTCCTCATCCGAAGATTAACTCACATGATCAGTGGATTGGTCTAAAGTGTGTCGAGCATTTGTATGTTGTTGAACATTAGAAGCAGCTACTTGTCTTGTTGTACCAGCTGATCTTTTTCTTTTATTGAATCAAAGAAACACTCTCGTGTGTCTTGACATCTAAGTGAGCCCTCTTCAATAGCAGTAGGTGGTAAAAGCAAGATTGGATCCGTACCTGTAGTATGGTGTTCTTCACCAGGAACTGCGGTGTTAGAAAGAGGATTGGGTTGCATCTTCTCAACAGTAATGGTAGGTGTTTGATCTTTAGCGATATCCGACCTTAGATGTTGATGCAAACGATAGTAAATAGTAGAACTGTGACCAACCATACTACAATGAGAGCAATAAAGAGGGTGTGGTTCTATTTCAACATTTTGCCAATACCCGTTATAAGTGGTTCCAATCCATATCCCATCCAGAATTGATTAAGTGATATCTCTCTCAACTAACACACAAACCACAAAGGACCTGGTGGCAGCAAGCGTAGGACTATCAACCTTGAGAGACTTACCGTAAGCAGTTGCTAAGGAGTAAAAAATTTTCAAGTTGAACAGATGTAGTTTTAACCCCGGAAACTTTATCCAAACAAGAATGATAGTTGTCGATCTTGATAACTTTTCGAGAAAAAATGTGTGAAATCGGCATCGTAAGATAACTGAATAAGTATATGTCAACCATCAAGTAAACAAATATTCCAACCGACCAACAACTTCATAGCATCAAAATCTTTCCGAATGATCTCAAGTTTTGGGTTACCATAAAGAAATTTCCTCACTAGAGAAAAACACCAAGAAGACGTGAGAGTACTTATTTCAACCTCTGTGATAATAAGAGCAAACTTCCCATTTTTTTACAAATCATTTTAATGAAAGTGTGATCACCACCACCTTCAAAAGCCTTGTGGAAAGATTGTGGAACATTGCAGGACTTGCCCATATGAAAACCAGTCTCTGAACCTGAAAGATGAGCACGAGTAGGAATGGGAAGGTCTCCGGCAAGTGCAGTGGCATAAGAATGGATCGTCAATGCCATCTCCACCGACAAGATGGTCTGTAGGGCAGGAGAACAAACAGTTGCATCGTTCGGAAGGAGACGAATGCGAAGGAGAAGTGTCGTTGACTGCAGAAGACGGCTGCCAGAATGAAGAACCGTCGTCTATGGGAATCAGACGTCATCCACAGAAGACGTCGGCTACGGAAGACGGCGAGCGATAACGAGGGCGAGTGTCGTCGACTGCGGGTGAGACGTTGTCGAGTGGAGACGACGCGAGCCGCGACTACAAGGGCAAGAGTCGTAGACTGCGAATGACGTCGTCGATTACCAAAATGACGCGAGCGAGCATCAAGGACAAGGACGTCTGCGAGTGAGCGTCGTCGAGAAAGCTGCCAGGGCGTGAAAACGCCATTGCGGAAGACGACGGAGAGAAAGTGATAACACGAGGAATCACCGTCGGGAATCGCCAACGAGCGAAACCCTAGCAGAGCCCGCTGTCGCTGCAGACCTATATGTCCTGTGATGATTGTATATATATCTATATATATAATGATATTGATATGCTATTGATATATTAAAGTTCGTTGAACAACATTAAATGTTTTTTATTGATTTATTAAACGTTTGATTTCACTGGCTTGTTTAACTCAAAGTTATTTTAAACTAAATTTTCAAGTCATGACATATATTCTAGTATTAAAACTTATTCAAATAAACTTTGAAATTTAATTTTAAAGTAGTCCACTCCAATTGAGATTCACAATCAACAAATTTATCATCAAAGATTTGATTATTTGATTTTAACCCTCGTAGCAGATCATACTTAATATGAACACATATTTGTACATAAATCTTATCAACTCTGTTTTGCTTACCAAAGCTCAGGTTCAAGAACTATAATAGTTAGAATTATTTAGATATTTTTTAAAACTTAATTTTGAAAAGACATCTCTGGTTGAAATCTTCTATCAACTCGAACATCATCAGAGATTTTAATTAGACATTTCAGACATTTATGATTGAAATTTATTTGTTATTTGACTAAATACTTGTAAAATGTCAGTCTTGCCAACTTCAATCTTTATAAGGAGAAAGATCAGATTAGATGATTTGAACTAATAATTTTTTAAATTTGTAATTTGAACATTATTAAAAATTTTAGGCTTGTCAACTTCAATTCTTAAGAGGAAGATCGGATTAGTTGAGTGGGGCACAACCTCGCTTTATAGACAAGGTGACCCAATTGAAAGCATGCATCATTTGATTATCTTAGATTTGATTTTTTTTCTTTTTAACATGAGCCATAAGAAAAGCAGATGCATGAGGCAAGCAGAGCTACAAAAAGCAGGAGTGTTGAGATCTCGAGCAAAGAGGAGAGTCGGAGGCGCAAGAATAATACCCATTATGGTGAACTATATAAAAAGCTTCTCAATGATTTCCTATTTCAGATTTCTCATTACAGCATAATGTAGTCATATAGGCACTTTAGATTAAATCAAATTCATAATACTAGACCTCATTTCAAAAATATCTCAATTAGTCCAAAAGTTTCTGAGGGGACAACGTTCCCCCTATTTCTGAATGTAAATAGTAATACCATAAATGAAGCTTTAAGAAAATAAGAACACAAACTTCTACATATTCACTATGCTCTCAAATGATGGATTTATGGCAGTGCATTCTGCAAACTTCAGAAGTATGCCAGATTGAGGGCATAATTCAAATCATGCTAGATTAAAACAATATATCAACAGAAGCAACATTAATTTAATACTTTTCTAATAGCACACTCTTGTTAGTTCATAAATAAAGGTTCCAATAGTTAGCCAGCCACACGAAGAGAATTACTTCATTGCCTCTAATATTCATGCTCGTTACACAAACTTTAAAAATCAACAAACCTTTGATCATATCACCCATCAAACTATGCACCGGACGATTGTCTCCGAATATGCTGGGAGTTTTTAATATTTCTTTGCACAAAGCAGATTTGAATGCCTGGACATAAGAACAATGTTAAACAATGTGAAGAGAAACAAAAAAATATGAGTTGTTTGAAATGGTAAACAAACACAAAACAGGGACCAAATATTATACTATGCTTGGACAAAGAGAAATGAAATCACTTTCCAAGGTATGCTACAAAAAGCAGACATTAAAAAATGGATAAAATTTCTTTCTAAAGAAAAAAAATAGTTAAAAACCAATAGTCACCAAATATTAAGAAAATATTACGAGCGGACGATTGCAGGTCCAGTGACGGTTTGGATTTTGGCCACACCGTCGTGTATCGCACGAAGGACCATCCGCTCGTCTGGATGTGTGATTGCTACACGTAATAATTTCCCCCAAATAAGTAATGAACTTATAAAAAGCTATTTACTCTGTTCAGTAAATCAGTAGAGGACCATCAGGACCGTTGTTCGGATGTGTGATCGTTGCACGTAATAATTTCTCCCAAATAATAAAGTAATCAACTTACACTAAATTATTTACTCAGTTCGTTAAAATCAGTATAATAAACACTGCAATAAGTTCTTCAGACAGATATAAAACTACAGATTATTTAGAGTAGAGACAGAGCAAATACAGGAGCCTACCTTCAACCCTAAAGTTCTGCAAATGATTCAACCAGCCAATTAAAACTGAGCATAAATGCGAAAAAGAAAAGAAAAAGAGCGGCATTACTCTAATATCCAGCACGCACTCACAATTTCACTACAGTCAGCCACCTACACATCCCAACCATTTCCTTCCAAATCTTTGGTGCCTGCCTGCTCATCCTTCTTCCTTCTATTGCCGATGTTTGCCTAGCATTCCTACCAACCATCAGCTTTTGCTAAATCAGTTTTTGCCCACAAGCCATTACTACTAATATCCGTATCTTCCAAATCAGTATTGTCCACTAGCTTTCTTTGCTTGTGTTGTTGTAGTTTTGCCAGCTGCTTTCAGCCAGTCCAACATTCTTGTCTAGTTCATGTCTGGCAGTCTGCATCCTCTAAATCTCCTTCTTGTGCATTGGCGTTGGTTTTCATCTTTCCTAAATATACTTTTTTGTGTGGTTGTCAGTGGTTTCCTTTTGTTTCCCACATTTGAATCTTTAACTCTCCCCCTCAAATTGATCAGTACATGCCTATCATTCTAAGTTTGCAAAAAATATTTTAAATGCAACATTGTAAAGTCCTTGGGTGAACACGTATATGAGTAAAATATTTGTTAGGACAATAGAAGTGCAAATAATCCTATCGTCCACTTTTCTTTTATGAGATGCTAATCAACCTCCCATGTTTAGTTCGATCATATTATACGGGTTTAGTTATATTGTGTTATGAATGCTGTTATCACAATATATCTTCAAGCTTCTATTCATTCAATCTTCAAATCTTCTATAATTTTTAAACATAGTATCGAAGCCCTTGTGCACAACATATTTACACTTGACGTTGGGACAATAATTTATTTACTACTCCTCTATGCTATAAGATATCCTAATAAAGTATAAAAACCTAAATTTGTCCTGATCAATAGATGATCCAACATAATCAACATCTGTATAGCTCTATAGCTGGAAATATCGCACTAACTCCAATGGATTGAGAGTATTCTTTCATAGACAACCTCAAATGGGTTGTAACTTGTCAACTGAATAATTAGCTGTTTGCAAGCAAACTCAAATTAAGGAAGAATCAAATACCATAGCTTAATCTTCTTTTCCACAGAACACCAAAGGAGATTTCCCAAACTATTTACAACCTCTGCCTTTACATCTGTTAGAGGATGATTTGCTGAATTGAAATTAAATATTGTACATAAGTTACCCCAAAAAATCTACCCAAAGTGATTGAGGAATTTCATATTACTATCTAACTCGATGGTCCTAGGTACACCATAAAGCTCAATTATTTCCCTAGAGTTTAGATCTGTTATGTGGGACGCATCCATTTTTTTATGGCAAGTGACAAGAAAAAAAATATGTCATCTTGAAGAACGAACAACCATAACAGAATCCTTACTTCGTTGTATTCGAAGTAAACTCACCAAAACATCTATGCTCGTGTCTAACCACGGTGCCTCTGGAATGGGAATGAGAGTGTATAAACATTTATTCTATCATTGAGCCTTAGCCATATGACAAACTGTACAGTTTGACATGTCTCTCCATCTCTGTATGAATCTAGGCCAGTAAAAATTCCCTTTCACTAGGCAAAGAATCTCATCTCTGCAATCATACTTTGTCATCCCCCAATCGTTACTCCTATAAAATGCTTTCATTGTGTAAACTCCAAAATAGACAAACTGTTCTGAAGGAATAGATATCCAATACACCTGTGATATTGCTCATGTAATATATGCTGTCAACGGGACCATTATCTTGAAAACTCTAGTCAACGACATATAATTTTTTTAACACGTAAAAATTAACCTCCCTAGACTGCATAGTAGTGATCAGTAAGTAGCAACGACTCAGTGCACATGTTACTTTGTTTCGACTCTATCTTATGTTTGAGCACATAAATGACATGAAGTGTAACACGTAATTTTTTCAAAACAGGTGAAAATTTAACATATACCTCAAATTTAACATTCCTCAAAATTTGACAAAAGTAATTTTATAAATTCTATATGTCAAGTCAATCAATTTGACATATAATATTTATATAAATTATAGATGTATACGAAAATATAAAATTTTGAAATAATGAACCTAATTAGAATTAATTAAGCATCTAATTAATCTTCTCTAATTCTGACAATGTAGCTAGCAGACATTCCTCGCACCTAAGAGCGCATGCACTGGTCTGATATGATCGAACGGATGTCATTAAAGGGGATCTAAGTTATATGTAGTACTCCATTTCATTATTCTCCTCCCAATTCTTCATTTTCACGGTTCTTACGGGTGTTGCGATTTGGTACTATAACACAAAGGGGTGATCGACCGAAGAGGGAGCCGAAACTTAAGATGAAAGGTAGGAAACACTATTTCACAATATTTTGGATATTGTTTTCCTTCCCCAATATTCCTTTTTGACATTTGCTACAAATTAAGGCAGCTCACGTGTTCCCTATTACTATAGTTTTGCAAGAACAACATTGAACTGTCAAAGAGAGAGACGCTCTACGGTAGACCCACTTCATGAGTTGCAGAAAAGGGTTAAAGGAAAAGGGAAAGGAGGGAAAAATAATATAAAATATTGGAGAATGGTTGTTATGACGAGAAGTACTTTTAAGCTAAGAAAATTATGTTTATAATTAAATCACGATAAGATTCCCAAATCCTAATATTCAGTCGAGGACGAAATTCGGTAACATTTAAGACCAGAAGGAGACGAAAAATAGGAAACTTTTGGTATTGAGGGAAGGGGACATTGATAACTATCAATCTTTATCAATAGTTAATGTAGCTTATGACCTAGATGATGACCCAGTGATATGACATGACATGAGAAAAATTGAGGCCTATAAAATTACAAATGATATTCTTAAGATTAGATTGATGACTTTCATAAATATACTTACACATGAATAAATAAAGGCATGTTTTATACTGTTGCCATGATTTTTTAAAGTATATGTCTCTTCTTTTACATATTTTATACAATTATTATATGATAAATTGCATTTAAATAATAATTATAAATACAGATGAATATGCCTGAAGAAGAATTAGAAAATATCTCTTACACCAGTTGCAGAGCAAGAAGTATAAGCTGAAATGTCATGAACAGAAATGTTGATAAAAAACAGGGCATTGTGACAAAATAGCGACTATTGAAAAATCATTTACCAGCACAGGATCCAGATCTAGGGATAATACAGGAGTTGATCGACATTTGAAAAATCTTCCAGAAATTCAAGTCGCCTGCATTTAAGTGTGCCAGTGACTATACAGTTACTAAAGTTTGGCTATCAAAGATTAAAAAAAAATCTAGATGGTTTGATTTGCCCAGAAAACAAGAGAGTAGAACAAGCAATTTTCATATTAGAAGGTAAGGTAGAGTGGTGGTGGCAAGCATAGCATAGACAAAAACTTCAATTGACACCTCTTCAAAAGATTTAGTGGGATGATTTTGCTAGAGTTTTCAAAGGATTGGTTCACTCCAACTTCAACCATATTATCATTGCAAGATAAATTCTTGAATCAGACTCAAAGATCCAAGACAATTACCTAATATAACACATAATTCACTTCTATTTCCATATATGCACCCCATTATGTCAATACCTAAGAAAAAAATATCAATAATTTTTGTGCAGCTTCCGAGATCAGCTGACGTTGGCTTTGGCTCCTTTTGAAATCAGTGACTTCGCAATGTTAGTTGAAAGGACCAGAAGAATCGGAAATGAGCTCAACATCTCCAAACAGTTGTGGCAAATGCAGACAAGCAAACGAAAAGATTTTGGCAAGGGAGAAGAACCCTATAGCAAAAAAATTTAAATCAGAAGAAAACTGAAGCAACCACAGTTAGAAAGGTTATGTGAGAAAATGTGAAAAAAATGTATTTTGGGCAGTGCTCGATGAGTTCAAGAAAGTACTATAGATGTAGACAGTTAAGGTTCCAATGAACTGTCTGAAGGAAAAGAAAAGAAACAATAAACTACGAACATTCTAGGAATAGGGACAACCTAGAAAAACTTTTAGAAGGTGGTCAATTAAGCAAAACTCACTTTTTAGTAAAGTCTTCAACTCAAGCAAATGGTGAAACTTCATTGCACAGAAATGAACAGTCACTGAATGCCAGAGTTTTTACAATTAGCCCTCAGGAGGATAAAAAATCTGAAGTAGTTTCAACTACACATCCTTAAATCAATATGACACGGTTTAATTCAATTCAAGTGCATCACATTCTTTCATTTAAGAAGAATTTGATGTCAGCTTATCTGTTGATATTATGTACTTTGCTTCTATCTTATGTGTTACTATGCTTATGGTGAATGACTTCAATGTAAACAGAAAATATTTTGTGCATGTTAGTATTTACAAAAAAATGCAAATA